CACTGTTACCTCCAAAGAAAAAGAAAGTTAAAAAAAATCCATAAAGGCACAAATTTAACAGAATATTTTAATGGCTACTGTAAAGCCATAAGAAAAAATTTTAAAGAGTAAGTAATTACTAATGAATACAAGTTCATTTCTAAGAGTTATTTCATTGAAATTTCAAGGTTTTTAAAAAATGCTACAAGCTGATTAATTATATTTAATAGCTGATATCGGGACAACCAACTAGACCTCAGAAAAACTGAGATCCCTGTTCCTGATATCTTCCACCAAATAATTTTCAGTTGGAGCAAAAAATGTATGCACTAAAAAAAAAAAAAAACTGGAGGCTGGGTGCAGTGGCTCACACCAGTAATCTTAACACTCTGGGAGGCCAAGGCAGAAGGATCACTTGAGGTCAAGAGAACAGCCTGAGCAAGAGCCGAGACCCTGTCTCTACCAAAAATAGAAAAATTAGCTGGCCGTGGTGGCATGCACATGTAGTCCCAGCTACTTGGGAGGCTGAGGCGGGATGGCAGCTTGAGCCCCGAAGTTTGAGGTTGCAGAGAGTTATGATGACACCACTGCACTCTAGCTCAGGCAAGAGAGTGAGACTCTGTCTCACCAAAAAAAAAAAAAAAAAACCAAACCTGGAGAATATAAATGGATTTCTGAATGATCTAGTAGTAGAAAAGACCTTGCTGATCATGACATAAAATCTGGTCATACAGAAAAAGCCTAAAAACCCCAACAATATAAAAATTTTAAAATATCTTCCCAGGAAAAATAATTCAAGTGCAAAGAAACAAGGAATATTTGCTACGCTTATGAAAAGGCAAAGGACTAGCTGCTTAAAATGCAAAATGCTCTTATAACCCACTAATAATATCAGACAAAAATATATGAAGGACAAAGAGATGGTTCATAGAAAAATAAGTTTCTTTTTAACATGTACATTTTCTGAAATGACACTAATTGAAGTTTGATAAAACTTTGTCCAGTATTGGCAAACATGTGGAAAACAGACACATCTCCTACATTAATGGAGGAGACATGTGAGAAAATAATTCATCAAGAACCAAAAATTTAAATGCCATAAACCCTTTGATCTAACAAATGCACTTCCAGAAATTTCCACAAGTTATATTTGGCAAAGAGTCACAAGAGATTTTTGCTGCAGCATTGCTTTTAATAGCAAAACAAAGACACAAAGGTAACATGACAACAGTCTAAAATCTTTTAGGCATGATGGAGAGGGAAGGAGAGACATGGACAAGACATAGATATACAATTATTTTTAATGCTACACCCTATCTGTGCTATTCTAACCTTTATTCAAACTATCTTTTACAATTAAAAGCTCAAACTCATTTTTTAAAAAGTTTAAATTAAATGACTTAAAATATTTATCAAGTGCAAACTCTGTATGATGTACAGGCCTAGGGGAGGACAGAGAATATGAAAATTCAGATTTGACTTCCTGATTTCAAGAAGTTTATAACCTGGTTTGGAGACATAAGATCAACTAGAAAATAAATGAAGACTGACAGAAAATCATTAAATACTCAATTATACAGACAGTAATTGCTATACAGACCTCAAAGGTCATCTCAGGCTAGGGGTACATCACCAAAAGCTTCAGACCAAACGTGTTATGAGTCTCCAGCTTAAACTGTGAAATGGTGGCCCCCAATAAGCCAATACCAACCTTTGGATTTGTTTTAACATGTAGTGTTTTGAAAACCAAAAAATTTTGTATATTATAGGTTTCCTGCGTCTCTCTAAAGATATTCAAAGTAGCAAAATGTAAGGCAAGCATTCCCATGTAAAAAGGCACTGTCCCCTTCATCCCTATCTTATACATTCCAACTTGTTTAACCATTTACATTAAATGCTTGGCCTCTGTAAGCATTTACGTCTCTTAACCCTAGGATAGAAATGACAGTAACAATGGCAAAACTACAAACACAGGAAAGTAGAGTAACCTCTGTTTATAAAAGAGAACCTAGAAGAATAAGCTTACAACAAAATCCAATTTTCAGGTGGTGGTTATATGCCAAATGGATCACTATTATTTTTATATACTAAGTATAACAGGAAAAGGTGTCAATTATAATGGTATGACACCACCGACTTTAACCCCTATCTCAGTCTTAAAATCATGCAAAATAGGAGAGGGGTTACTTACAAAGTAAGTAAAAGTTACATGAGATTTAGAACACTTTTTAAATGAAATCACTAAAAATAATGGTGGCTCACACCTGCAATCCTAGTACTTTAGGAGGCTGAGGCAGGACGATTGCTCAAGGCATAGAGTTTGGGACCAGACTGAACAACACAGCCAGACCCAGACCCTCTCTCTACAAAAACTTTTTAAAAAATTAGCTGAGTATGGTCAAGTGCCCCTGTAGTCCTAGCTACTTGGGAGACTGAGCCAGGATTGCTTGAGGCAAAGGAGTTGGAGGGTGCAGTTGCTATCATCACACCACATTACTCTAGCCTTGATTACAGAGTGAGACCCTATCTCAGAAGAGAAAAAAGAGGGGAGATGGGAGAAGGGAGAGAGGAGAAGAGGAGAAAAGAAAAAAAGGAAGGAAAAGGAAAGGGAAAGGGAAGGAAAGGAGTGAGTGAAAATAGCATTCTGAGCCTCAAGTAGTCATTTGTATAATATTTAGACATTTGTTTATCCTCGTTCATTTTCAAATGTATATTCATCTCCACATTCTGACTAATTAAAAGGAATAAAGGAAGTGGCTGTCTTTAATAGGATCTTTACAACACCTAATACTTGGTGTCAGGATATTTATCTGGGCTAAATGTATACAGCTTTCTTTCTTTCTTTTCAAAAGAGTTACTCTATCCAATGGGTTAACAAATTCCCCCAAACAGTACTCTATCATGCAAAACTAAAGAAATTGTGAGCGTACTGCTTTCTGGGAGATCATTTTAGCAAAAATCTTTGCCTTACATTCAGGCATACAAAGCTTAAGTATACAGAGTTGACCACTGGAGCCACAAACATGAGATCCTTGAAGTGATACACAAGGAGTAAAGAACAGAATTATGGACAAAGTGTCAACATGTAAGGAGAGAGAGAATGAAAAAGAAATTTTAGAAAGTTGGGATAAGAATTAATAGTGACATAAGAGGTAAAGGGAATTTCGATTAAGAAATGGTCACTATTTTTAGATTCTACACAACGGTCAAGAATATGAGCAAGAGTTCCTTTATAACAGATGTTTTGTTGAAAATATCAAGTTCTACAGATTTAGTCTCTAAGTATAAAAAAGGACTGGTAGGATTATCAAATTGAAACCTTTATATCAAGAACTGTCTTTTTTATTGAAATACTGACAAACCAACTAAGACCCGAGGCTCACACAACCAAAAGATGATGTGTTTTCTAAGTGTGTAAAACGGTAACATAAAAAACAAAATTTTAAAAACAAGAAAGAAAAACCCATAGTAAGTAACTCCATAGATACAACTGTTTCCAAAATTGCATTAGTAAGTCAGCCAAGAAAATACGAAAAAAAAAAAAAATAGGCAAATGAATTCATTTTAAATACTTACATCTTCTCTAGGTAGTTTGTTTTCATTGTCTCCTTCAATTCTCACCCGAACCACACCAGATTTGTCCACGATTTCTTGAATAACTTTGCCATTTTTCCCAATTACTTTTCCTTTAGTAAGAGAAAGAAATAACAATGGTATGTTAAAAAACCAATTCTGCTATCTTTTCAACACCAGCCCAAATAATTTATAAGTTGCTATCAAATTATAACCACCAAGCAAAGCTGCATCTTTTTACTTTCAATTAACATACCCTAAGTACTACCAAAGAATTTTATGCTTGGTCTGAAACTTCCTTCTCTTCAGTATGCCTAAGGATATTAACTGAGATTGACAATGCTGCTCCCTTGCAAGAAATTTTCAAAGTCTAAACATTTTTATATGAGTGTATCATTTTAGTAAATATCTAATCTATTTCAAAACCCTGGATATGTACATAAAGGCAAAGAGAAAACTGTTTTAATTTGGCATTAATCATTATCAATTTATGTTTATTACATATATTCACACAAGTAACAAATCCAATCTTGCTCTTATTTTCAAGTTTCTATTTGTCCAACAGATATCTGTGACTTGAAGATAACTTTAGAATATTTCTCTTCAGTAAAATAGTATGTTTATTACATTTTACACCAAGAAGTTTTTTAAGTATTTCACAGCTATATACAAGTCCATAAAGCATGTGTATGATGTACTGTCTTGCTAGGTATGAAATACTGTAAAATGACATGCAATTCAAATTATTTACCTTCTCCACACTTAAGTCTGTCAAACAGCAGTCACAAGTACACAGTAATTAAAGGAGAAACTGAGGGGTGTGGGGGACGGAATGAAAACTCTATTCCCCTGAGGAATTTACTCTCTAGTTTTAAAGATTAACATATACTTGCATAAAATAACAAAGAAATACTGGGTAATGTCACCTAACAGAAGTAAATATCCAGGTAACCTTCACTGTATGGAACAGATGTATCCCATAAAAAATTAACAGCAACACCAAATTTGTCCACAAACCCAATTAATTTTTTTTACAAACCCATTCTCATAAAAAAGCTTGAATTTTTAGTTTAAAGGGGTTAAAATGGAAGTTTGTCCTACTGCATACTTGAAAGAACAGTTTCCATTAAAGAATGAATTAGGGAACAATAACAACAGTAACCTGGTCAACATAGCACAAGCACTATAATCAGATTTTCTTACTGTTGTAGTACTACTCTCAAACCATCTTCCCCATTAATAACTCTAAATTTAAAAGTAGCAGCCATTGGACAGGGGAGGGGAGAAAAAAAAAAAATACAGGACAGGGAATTCACATGATGTATGTCTTCTCTGAGCAGCCCTAGCAGCAGCACATAAAAGCAACCTTCATTGTTAACACAGTGAAGCTCAAGCAGCAACTCCATCCTTGACCCTGCTAAAAATAAGCAAATTTCTTTTCGACAAACAAAAATCAGGTTGATATTCCATAATCCCTCCCCGCCGAATTTTTGCCACTTCCTTCTTGTGAACTATACCAGTTGTGAGTGATCATCCAACACTCTTCTGGGGTCCTTGGCAGGGACCTACCTTCAAGTTTTATTTAGTCCCACCAGAGACCGTCAATATTTTAATTGATCATTTCCATAGTTTAAATTCCAGAGCATACTGACAAATTGAAGCAGACCTGTAGTATAAATTGAGCATTGAGTATAAACGCTAAAGGGACAGAGAAGTTATTAAGGACGTCCTACAAGAGGTGAAAGGTTTTGATCCATATTCAAATCACGTTCACACATTTACTCCCTTGATTTGGGAGGGGTGGGAATGGTTGAGTCCTAGAACTCTTAGAACCCAAATGTATACAGAAATCCTCTCTGGAACTTACCCACCAAATGGTCCTCATTCCCTTTTATTCCTCATTCCTCTTTTTCTCTTTTACTTAGACTAAAAATGCACTACTTTTCAAAAGACTGGATCACCCATAAAACATTTTGGAGGCAAATATAGTATTATTATACATGATAACCAACAGAAATTTTTACACTGCTCTTTGAGTACTTCACCAACATGTAATATTAATAGTTGCTGCTGTGTATTTCCTAAAAAGCACACAAACAACCCACATCACCAAAGCCAACCAAGACAGAATAGAGGAAAAGAGAGACACCACAGGTATTGACATCGCTGCACTGATACATAAAGAGAAGAATCAGGGAACTATAAATATACCCAATTTCCTTATTTTTTAAGTATCAGGAATTCTTACAATTAACACTACCACAACCCTGGAAGACCAAAGCTATCTTCTACAGGATGACTGGTTTGGAAAGAAACCCGATTCCCTTTCGCAAACCCATCACCAAAATCATTTTTACAAGTGAGGAAATCTTAAATTATATGCTGTAGAGCAGCTACCACAAGGTGAGTACTGATTAATGTTAATAATTGAGTATGATTTAAACAAAAAAGGGGATCATTTTCAAAAGCAGCTTTCTTATCAAAGGAGTTTTCATCTGACAATGATAAATACTGATAACATTTAGTAATTAAAAATGTTTATTAAAACTACATAAAATTCTTCAAGCTTATATTTAATTTTAACATCTTAACTCATCTCTCCAGCAGCTCAATCTACAATGAATAATGAAATACCAAGAACTGATAAAGCTTACATAAATGGCAGAACGTCAAATCTATCCATTCAAACGTTTGGGTAGAATTGAAAAGCATTTTACGTAAATACTAATAGTTGAATCCCAAGAAACAAATTCTTGTGTTGTAAACTATTTTCCCTGAGTACACTACTTGTTACTGGCCAAAAAATCCCTTCTTTTTAGAATGGAAGGTTTTTTTTTCTTAAATTTTTTGATTAATGTTTGTTTTACGGGATTCGAAAAATGGCACACCAATAGTTAAGAAATCATTTTCAAAAGGCAGAACAGGCCACATTATATAAATGAAGCCAAAAGAGGTGAAACTATTTCCTTAAGGTCAAAAAAATTAATGAGACACAATTGGGAACAAAACTCATCCCCCTCCTAGTAAACTTTATTATGTTGATGCTTTTTATATTAAATTTTTAGGATGGTCACCAAGTAACTTTACACATAACCCAAGCCTTCCCAATTGCCTCAAACAGCATTTAAAAATACAAACACCACAGATGTAAGACATATTAGTAACAAAGCTATTAATTAACTCACCCCAAGCTATAATTACTCATTTGACCATAGCTTCAAACTCAAATTTTTGTCACTTAACTTATAACCTATGGGTATAACAGTTTCATTAATGGTTGGTATCAATCAATCCCCTCTTATCATCACGATCTTTCTCTCCTGCTCACAACTTCTTACCTTATTCTACTCCTTTGCAACAACCAACTATTATTTATTCAGGACCTACTGTGTAGAAGTTTATTACCCTATTGTTAGTCCACTGTTACCTTTTCTTCCTCACTAAACAAAAGAAAACAATTATCACAAACACCTTCTCAAAAAGTACTATTATAATTTTGATGGATATGTGAATGATAAAAGAATGTTATGGGAAAGAGAATAATAGGAAAGCTCCCAAAGAATGAGAAGGCTTTAAAAAAACCTGCACTGACAAACTGTTATAAAAATCATGGGTCTTATTAGTGAGGGTGATCCTGTATAGAAGAAACCATCTTTACTTTTTAACATAGGACAATAAGGAGGTACAAGTCACATAAAATGTTATTACCCCAAAATGAAAATAAATATTGATATCTAAATGTTCCACACAAGTAGAATAAGGTATCAGACTGTAAAACTAATTTCAATTAAGTCATTATATGTAACTAAACAACATTTAACTTATTTAACATTTAGTAGAAGTACCTACCAACAAGATTCCTAGGAACCTGAATAAAATCCTCCACAAATTCCAAGAAACCTCTAGCCTTTTTTACAGCATCAGCACTCTGTAGATGGAAAAAAAAATAAACATGAAATCCTTTTTCAATGCTGAAGCAACCCACAATCCAAAGCAAAAACATGAGAAAAAGAGAAAATTCTGAATGATTATATTCTACTAAAATATGCTCAGCCCACTGGGGAGATATTTTTCAGGTTGAGTAATTCATGAAGTACACTTTTAAAAAAAAATTCTAAGTCATCACTAAAGGTGTCAAAAAAAAAAACAAAAACCTGTCAGTACTATTAAAAACAAAAAATGTTAGATATCTCTAAGATCCTTTTGCTGAATAGTCAAACTATAACCCAATCCTGAATATACTGGTCCATATTCTCATGTTGTATTTCTCATAATAAATGTTAAAATCACAAATAAATTGTCTAAATTGTTTTTTATTTATTCTCAACATGGGAAATTATTTTAAAAGCTGTTTTTGTAGAGATGCAATTTTTTAAAGTACCTACTGATAATTAAAATTCCTAATTTCTAATGGGTACAATTTTAAAAAACTAGAAGCAGGTTCTCTAAAGGGATTTTATAGCTCTCATAACAGTCACTATCCACTTTTATTTGTTCTTTAATAAGTGAGAGCTCACTATATACCATATACACTAAAAAGTTTTAAAAATGTATTCAATCCTCGTAAACTATGTAAGTATTATTATTCTTATTTTACAATGAGGACACTTACATAATGAAGCAACTTGCTCCAAGCCCACTCAAAGTGGTAGAGACAGGATTCCAACCCAGGCAGTGTATCTCCAAAGCCTGTACTCTTAATTATTATATGTCATACTGACACTTTTAAAGGTTTCAGAAATAAAAATGAAGCTTCTAGTTAGATTAACTAAACAATCTTTCCTAAGAGCTATATATGAAAAGTTGGCTGGAATTTACCACTCAAAAAAAAAAAAAAAAAAATCCATGAAGGATGGTCTTAATAAAAAGTCTGAATTTATGTTTTTTAATATGTGTGTGTATATGTAAGTTTTTCATACATATATATATCTACCTTTATTTATTTTAAACAGATGGGGTCTTACTACATTGTCCAGGCTGCATTCAAACTCCTAGGCTCAGGTGATCCTCCTGCCTCAGCCTCCCGAGTAGCTCAGACTACAGGCATGCACCACCATGCCCAGGTGAATTTTAAATTAATTTTCTATCCCTACAAATGTCACAACTAACCAGTGATAAAGTATTACCCAAATTCAAGTTCTATAAACGCTATTCTATCACATGCTATTTACTACTGTCAAGTACCTGACACACAGTAAGCACTCAAAAAATACTCGGATAAATTATTTATAATGGGTATAAAACTGAATTCAACTCAAAAGCAATTAGTTAAGGAACTTCTAAAAATACTACAAATTACTCAGAAAATCTTTTATTCCCCCAATACAAAATAAACTTCAATCGCCTGCACAAATATGATCACCAGGCTGAATGATTTTAAATGAATAAATTCTACCTCTTTTACTGGGAAATTAAAATTCCAGATAAAAAAAAATTCCAGATAAAATATGATCAAACAATAGATGGTCAATATGTTATAATAAAGTTAGCCAAGGCAGGAGACAAAACAGCTTACCTCTCCATAAATTCTAAATGTTCCAGTATCTTCATCTAGCTCAATAGCGGTAACTCCAGGAACCTTCCTAGCTTGCTGTATATTACTACCATGTGTTCCTATTGCCAGACCCATTAAATCTTCTCTCACAACAAATTCCTCATGAAAAGCTGCTGCAAGTTGTTTTGTACACTAGTGAGAGAAGAAAATTAGAATTTATAAAAAAGATCAAAAATAAAATGGTTTTTATACATACACATTCACAGTGTTATTCACAATAGTCAAGAAGTGGAAGCAACCCAAATGTCCATCAGCTGAATGGATAAACAAAATGTGGTATATACACACAATGCAATTATTGTTCAGCCTTAAAAAGAAAATTCTGACACATGCTACAACATGGATGAAACTTGAGAACATTATTACACTAAGTGAAATAAGCCAGTCACAAAAATGACTAATGCTGTATGATTTCACTTATCTGAGGTATCTAGAATAGTCAAATTTATAGAAAACTGAAAGTAGAATGTTGGTTGCCAGGGGCTGGGGGTAGACGGAAATGAGGAACTTGTTGTTTAAAGGGTATACAGATTTTCAGTTTTGCAAGACGAAAAGTTCTGGAGATTGATCAGTAATGTAAATATACTTACTACTACTAAACTGTGCACTTAAAACTGGTTAAGATGGCAAATTTTGTGTTATATGTACTTTAAAATCACAATTTTTTTAAAATGAAAAAAAACTAAGTTAAAGAAGGCCAAAAGTCAATCTCTTAAAGAATAAACTGATCTGATGTGGTAACAATCAAAGGAAAAAAAAACCAGTTTGATCAGTCTATTTAATCATGGTCACAGAAAACAGTAACTCTACAATTTTCCAAAATTACAGACACAGGCAATTCTCCGATTCAGATGATTCTGGTTTTAAAATTCATTCACATATCCCTTGTTTGGAACTTTCAAACTAATGAGGATACTTACAAATTTGTCCTGAGGATACCTCAATTTCTCAAAGTAAAGACAGTGTGTGAATGCACGTGTGTTCAGTTGGGGAGTGTAGGGGCAAGGGGAAGAGTGTATCCTAATAGCACGGCAGGGAAGAACAGAAGAAAACAGAGTACCTTTGGGCAGGACAGAGAAGTAATGAAAGGATTAATATTTTGAAACTACATGTTACATGATGCCTCACTCCTAGTCCTTCTCTCCTCTTACACAAGAGTTGTCATAGTGAACTAGTTACTGATGAAGTATATCATGACTGACAGGTGAAAGGGTAGTAAAAAAAAGGTTAAAGACAGAGCAAAGAAGTATCAATACAGTTCTATTGGGTATCTCTAGTTAGTTTCCAAGCTATTTGGCACCTGTCATCTAAACCCTAAAAAAAAAAAGTCAACAGGCATTTAGCAGATGAAAGGCTATGTTTGACAAAAGTAAAATGGAAAAGCAATTCTTCTAAGGACATGACCACGCCACATATTAGCCACAAAAGAAGCCCTAGGTTGCCTTATATAATAGTCAAGTAGTTTGAACCAGGGAATGTGAAGAACATACTTAAGAAACTAAATGGGATGCATAAAAAACCTTTTGTAAGTAAACCCACTTACCTCTAAATGTTTAGTGGCCTCTTCATTTCTGGACATAAGCATCAACTTCGTACGAATACTTCGCAAATGCATGTCACTTAAAATATTTACTCTCTTCACAGTTGCTTCACTGGCAGACTATAAACAAACAAGTTAAGCCCTCAAAAGTTGAATCATTTCTCAAAATAACACAAGGACAATCTTCTATACAAACCCTTCCTTGATTCTCATCTACCACACTTCTCCCTTCATCCAATACTCCCCTCCCTCCCTGAGTAATCCTACTTTCCTTTCTGAATTCCTGTATTATTTAGATCTGCTATCCAGAATACATTTGGTCAGAGGGAAATCCAGGATCCCACACATCAAGAATTTTATGATGTTAAGAATGTCATGTTAAGAATTATTCTTCTCCTTACTCCAGAAGAGATCAAAAGTAATTAGTGTTTTACAGCTACAAAAATAATTTCTCCCACACTATATTAATAAATTCACTATACATCAAGTTTACCTAAGCTTTTATCTTTTGAAATACCTAATTACAAAATGTGTGCAATACCTATTAATTAGCTACCTTAAAAAAAATTAGCTACCTTAAAATATGGTGTTATCTTACCAGTATCATTAGCTGTGTAGTTTCTGGATGGTAAAAAATTCTGCACGCTCCTACTGCTTTCTTAAAATCTTTATGAGCATTTTCATTAGCACACCTAGAGAGAAATTAATTTAAGTGTAAAACCTCAATAATAGATTAAAAGTTGTAATGTGAAGTTTGTATTTCATTTCATTAAAAATGTTATTCATTAAAAGATTTTATCAGAAAATTCTGACTGAGTGTTTGAGGGGAAAATGATTGTTTAGTAGCACTGAAAAATCCTCTTAATTCACAAAGCAATTCAATAGTAAATAAAATCACTTAGAGCCGGGCACAGTGGCTCAGGCCCGTAATCCTAGCACTCTGGAAGGCTGAGACAGGAAGATTGTTTGCAGTCAGCAGTTCAAGATCAGCCTGAGCAAGAGCGAGAACTCCATCTCTACTAAAAATAGAAAAAATTAGCCAGGAGGTGTTGGCGAGCGCCTGTAGTCCCAGCTATTGGGGAGGCTGAGGCAGGAGGCGAGCCCAGGAGTTTGAGGTTGATGTGAGCTAGGGTGATGCCATGGCACTCTAGCCCAGGCAACAGAGCCAGACTCTGCCTCAAAGAAAAAAAAAAAAAAAAAGAACAAAATAATAAATAAAATTACTCACGCCTCTCTTAAATCCTCTGGAACATCCACTGTGCACTTAAAGAAGGTATTTTTTTTGACAGTTTTATTTTGATTGACAGGCCGAAGTCGTTCAAATGTGACTATTTCATTGTAAGTAGCATCACAAGCAGCATATTCAATGACATAAAACTAAAAGACATCAAAATACTTTAAAAATCCCATCTGAACAAAAATAATAAACTTTAAATGAAGTTCTAATTACCTTGCTCAGCTTAACCAACAGACCCTCCCCCATGTGGCACAAATACTAAGCACAGCTTAGCTACATCAATTTGATTTGCCTAAACTAGATTACAGGTTCTTACAAGCATGAAACTTGGTGGTCCTTACATGCTTGAGGTGTACCTCTGGAGAGCAGCTTTGGTGTTTGCCAATATAGAACACAAACAGAAATTAATGCTAATGAACTTTTGAAATGTTTGATCAACTATTTCTGAGGTAGGCTTTTAGAAAAAAAAAAAAAAGAGTGAGGAAAACATTTACAAAAACAAAGAGTTGAGGTATTTTCAAGATCACTTACTTCTCCTTTCATCATCCGAACTTTAGCCAACCACCAGCCACATGGTTCTTGGTCATTTGCTCTTGAATATACCTGAAAAGGGGGGGAAAACAAAAAAAAATTGCCTTCAATCATTCTTCCCAAAAGATTTCAACACTGTAAACAAATGTCAAATCCCACTAAACTCGAGAATCAAAAATGTTACTTACTTGAAATTGTTGTACTAAATGTAGTTTAACGGAAGTGGTATATACAATTAAATTTTACCACTTAAATATAAAACTAAACATTTTTTGGGCAATTTGGCTTCTTGGAAATCTAATTCCAATTCATGAGGTTTACTAAACATAAATATTTTTTAAAAATGTTATTTTACACAATGTAAAACATAGGTTTTTCAGTTTCTGTCAACGTTATTCATCAAAATTAAGAATTGTTTTCAGAACATAATAAACCGAATTTTAAAACTCCTTCTTCTAGGATATGACATTCAGATCCTTTGCCAAAGGACCTAAATCAAATGTACTACAATTGCTTAGCTAAATAACAAAAAATTATACATTTAGTCGTCTAGGAGAGTATACAAACATTTTATAAAAACTACTATCCAGAAAAATTAAATCTTATGGAATTTATATCTGAAAATATCAGTTTTATTAACATAAAAGATTACAAAAGTTTCTAATAGGGATTATGTCTCATGATTCAGCAGCTTGTTTAATGTATTTTCAATACATGGAGGGGGCAAGGACTGGTGCCGGGAAGAAACACCCCCCAAAAGAATCTTGAGTATAGAAACTAAGATTGCCCTTGTAGAGGTGGCCAGGGAAAGCTACCAGTGAATATTAAGAGCCATCTAGGAGACAGATGCAAACAACTATGGATAGGCAAATAATTTTAGAAGCCTGAAGCTTCTACTAAGATGATTTGCGAGTAAACTTGGAAGTGGTGGGAGTACTGGAACTGTAAATGAATAAGCCAAAACCTAATGATCAACTTCACTGTACACCATGATTAGCAAAAAAGCTATGAGGAAAAAACAGGAAAGCCAATATACCAATCAAGGCCCAATGGACACAACTTTAGCTTTTTAGTTTCCTGTATAAGTAGATGTAACTATTCAAAAGGTTCCATATTTTATGACTTTTTTTTTTTAGAGTAACATACTAACGTTTTTAATACAGTCTGATCAGATCAACTCATATCACAAGGTCAACCTGGGCTTACTCATGTGTGACACAACCATCAATATTTTGTGACTTTTATTCTTAGTGGTTTTCCAAAGAACAAGAAATTTAACTCTTTTGTATAATAGAGTAAAACTTTCCCATCTTGCAATTATTACACGTAACCACTGTGCCCTTTTATAAATCTAAGACAGAATCTAAGGGTCTTGTTTTTCCTATATATCTTGAAACATTTTACTATTTCATCATCATTTATCAATTATTCTCAGTTATACTTAAAGAAAACTAAGAAAACAGAGGAATAAAGGCATCATCTAGAAGAATACAACAGTGAAATAAATCATTACTGTTGCATCATCCTATGATTTCCTTATTGCCTAGCCTGAAGTATTGCATCTCTTTCACAAAAGTACAAAAAGGCCAAAGACACCATTCTTGTAGTCTGCTTCTGACTACTAACAGTTGAGAATTCATAATTTATTATTTTCCACCCATAACTGCAAAGAGAAGAAAATTTACAGAGGAAGGTCTTTCATTATTATTAGCGCAATCAGAAGATGAATGCAAAGAGATAGGAGCACAACAGATTCTACTGAAAGTATCTTATAAAGCAAAACCTCAGACTATGAAGTCTTCAGATGGCAACATCCTAGATGAATGTTTTCAATGTATTTCTAAGGAGAAAAAGGAAAGAAGGTGTTCTCATCCAGGTTACTCATTCAACTGGGAATTCATCACGCAAAATCCTTCAAAAAGAGTCTGAAGGATTTCACCCTGTTTTTCTAAAAGGATCCATGAGAGTATTCTCTCATCATTTAACATGTTTGTGCACCAATACTTCCTAAATGGAAAAACGCCAAAAGTAGGTGTGTTATACAAAGGTTACTAGGAACAAATGGTTAAAAAAATTCAATGGATTAGTCAATCCAATTGGCTAAATATGACATAATTACAGTGCAAAGACGGCCACTTCCTCTTTAATAAAATAAAAAGCCACCAAAAATTCCACAAGTATTCAAGTACTGCATTCTGATGATCCAAGTGTAAGAATAACCAGAATAAGCTAGAATTAGAGATGTATTTTAAATCTGATATATTTATGAGTATGTTCTAGGTTCATGCATGACAGTTAAGCAGTTAGTTACATTTAGAGAACTGTTATCCACTGTAGGCCCATGTATCATCAAAACGAGGAAAATAATATAAAGTTGGATTTGCTATGTTTAAACTCTTATTAAAATGTCTAAGGATACTGAACTTCACTATTCATTCTTCTGTAAAATTATTTGTAAAATGACTTAAAAATAATTTTTAAAAAATTAAAATGGTCCATTGGACCCGAACAGTAAATGATGAATGATTGTTTTCTGCAGTATACTGAGGATTAAAAAAAGAATATCCTAAGAACCAGAAGCAAAGTGCCCATTCCAAGCATTTTCTCAGAAAGGCAGTTCAGGTACACAGACTAGAGTATCTCTTGGTGATTTATAGTGAATGGGTACCTCAAGCGTGAACTGCTGAAAAGACAGGTCTTAAAACTACCTAAATCGCTTTATTCTAGTAGGTTATTAAGTATGGAATGTCCAATTTCATTAAGTAAGTTTGAGAGTTGATATCTCTCATATTTCACATTGACACTTCTTGTTTTATTTGTATTGTGAAGGTACATTCTCAGTCTTTGAAATGCATATTTTGGATTGTCATTATCTTTCCAATGTTATCTTAGAGCAATTTTTGTGAAACCACAGATTAAGTCAAAAATTCGTGTTATTTTTTGATATGAGTTCCATCACGGAACCAATGCAGCCCAGACAGCTCAAAATATCAACAAAATGTACGGGAAGGACGTGGCTAACAAATGCACAGTATGCCTATGGTTTGAGAAGTTTTGTTCTGGTGATTTTAATCTTGAAAATGAGCCATGTGGGTGACCTGAGACCAAGGTGGATAATGATGAGCTGAAAGCTGTAGTGTAAGCAAATCCATCTCAACCTACACCCGAATTAGCAGCAAGATTTGACATTACTATTCCAACAATATTGGACCATTTGAAACAAATAGGCAAGGCAAAGGCTAGACAGATGGACACCACATGAATTAAATGAAATGAGCCTAAGAGAAATTGTCTCAAAGCTTTCCTTTCGTCGCCGTCATGACATGAAGTGAACAATTTCTACACTGTATTGTTACGTGTGATGAAAACTGGATTCTTTTTGACAATTTCAAGTGTTCGGCACAATGGTCAGATAAAAATGAAGTGACGAAATATAGTTTAAAACCGACTATTCATCAAAAAAAGCTAATGGTGTCTGGTGGTCCAGCGCTGGTATTATCCAGCTTCATAAACCTGGTCAATCAATTACAGTCAATGTCTACTGCAACCAGTCGGATGAAATGAGGAGGATGTTTGCAATTAAGCAGCCAAGATTGGTCAACAGAGACAGGCCAATCCTCTTGTAAGACCCCATGTCCCAAAAAAACAATGCTGCTGAAACCAGAGGCTGGACTTGGAAACTCTTTGTCATCTACCATATTCACCAGACCTTGCACCAACTGACTATCACTTCTTCCAGGCTTTGGACCACTTCTTGCAAGGAAAAATATTCAATTCTCAACAAGCTGTGGAAAATGCCTTTTGCGATTTCATCGCACTCACTCTCCAGGCTTCTTGGCTGCTGGCATAAACAAGCTACCGTTGACGGCAAAACTGTGTCGACAGTTTAGGCACATACTTTTATTAACTGTACTGCTTCTTGAGATATAATAAAATACGCTTTTGATTTGAAATCACATATTTCATATTTAATGACCTGATATTTTCACCAAAGCATAGCTTTCTAGGAATCTGGCTATGTAGCTTGCTTACAAGAAAGAGAATAAACCGTTTCAACTGCCTGGAAGCTTCATTTCTCACTTAACATTGACATGCTGAATTCAATTTTATACTTAATATCCACTTCTGTAAGCTTCATTAATAACTTCACCCCTGAAAGATGAAGTCACTCTCATAGCCCCTAAATCTAACTTCCAGAACCTGCATCAAAACACTATGAACCTGGGGGGGGGGGAGAAAGGGCAAGGGCAACATACGTAACCTAAACATTTGTACCCCCATAATATGCTGGAAAAAAAAAAAAACACTATGAATCTGGCTCTACTTTAGTGCTATGGGTCAAATCATATCCTTTATAAAATGTTGAGTATATCTCACACAATAAAAAAAATCACTTTCAAAACCCAGCATTAAAACTCTGCCCTAGTATACTATGTCCCAAATGTTACTCAACTGATTTACAAATACATCACTGGAATAAGAGCACCTCATAGAAATTCCCTTTCTTCAGATTTCCCTTAACCCTCCCAACTATTCCACGGGAGCAACTCACACTATGAAACGACAACATCCACTGTGCTAACATACTAAAGCTTCTTCAAATCCAAAGAACTTAAAATCCAGGAGACTAAGGAGTGATCATGAGAAACCTAAAACAACAGTACTCAGATTAAAGATTATCATTTCATGGAGTGGAGAACGGAACAAGAAGAATGAAATTCAAAAGGCCTGTTTCAGAATTCTTTCCACCTAATGACCCCAAGTCAAACCTTGTTACAAAATGGTCTCCAAATTCAAGCATACAGCAACAAGTTATTTAAATGGAATTCCAGTCTGGATACTAAAGTCATCAATTTTTCATTAAAATTCATAATGTTCAATTATGCCTTTCAAAGTAACAACCAAATAAAGATAATATGAACACGGAGATAATTTATTTAACTGTATTTCTACTTTACTCTTCCAAATAATATTTACTATAAAACTGAATACTTATCATAATGGCTCACGTATCCAACATGTGAGATACATTTATTGAGTATTGCTGCTATGTATCTGACACAATTGTATCA